TCTCCACTTATTTATTTTAAAGATAGGATAAACTGTGTCATCTACCTTGATGAGGTTTGCAGTTACCGTTAAGGATAAGATTCTTTCGTTTTTTAAAGCAATACCTCATTTATATTTTATCGTTCTTTTTTTTTCTTTCTTTTTTTTCTAAACCTTTATTGTTGATATTCCTGTAATCCAATAAAAAGGGTGCTTCAAAATTTGACCGACAAATTCATGATAAATACTATCAAGAAGATAATGAAAACTTTCCACAGAATAAGGGATCGCAAATCACGTTAAGCGAGGGTGAAAATCGCGAAAACTCCATGCACATTTCTGCATCATGCTGATTTTGGCGTTTCATGCGTTTCGCAACTAAAGATACTACAAACTTGGTAGCTGTACAAAAAAGATTTATTTGACTGGTTAGTACAAGAATTATTCCAAGTGGTGCCCGCTAAAATCGTTGCACCGTCTACAACGACGTGAAAACTAATCGCAGATATCAGGTGTGCTTTTGATGTCTGCCGAAGCGACGACAATCACCACTCTGAGTTCTTCAGGTGTGTCCACGGACATTCAGATTCATACCTTGAATGCATTTTTCACAATTTTGCTCCTTTCAACCTGATTTGTATTTACAGTTTTCATCTTTTAGTGCCTTTTCCCAAAATCTCTGAATCACAGAAAATCCTATATGGTGATTATTTCATTGTATGATTTTTTTTTTAAACCAAAGACTTCTGAATGAGTAGCCTGTTGTTTTGCTGACTACCTACGATGCTACATTTTTTTGTTTATTTTTACGTCATGTGTTATACCATGAAGACGTTTAAAATTAAGACAATTCTTATTATCTATATTAGAACACAAAGGCCAACGATTCCCATGCAATTTTACCATTTGCAACTGAATTTTTGGTAGTTACCATACTTATGTACTTTATTTACTTATAGATGATTTTTTGCTTGTATCTTTTTTGGTAAAATTATAGTCATAGAAAAAGGTACTTTAATTGGATATTTTTAATGTAATTACATATTTTTATTATTGCTAGAAGTATCCACTCGGCTTCCCTACTCTGTAATTGTTTCTCAATCCTTGTTTTTTTTCCCTCCCTTAACGCCACAAAAAGACAAATTATACATATACAGAATAAGAATATACAAAATACACAATTATTGCAGCTTTATGTAGGAACATTTTTTTAACACGCTAATAGCAACAAATGGACGATTACCTTAATTTAAAAAATAATCATCAAAACTTTTAAAAATTTCAAAAAATTAATCTGAAAAATACAAATCGTGTGATTCAATGAGAAGTGATTTTACTCGTTGGCGAGATTTATTAAAACAATTCTTATCTCTTCTTATTCTGTTTTTATTTATTCATTTTTTCATTTTCTTTTTTTTACTTTTAAAAGTGCCACTGTAAACGTTAAGATTTGTATCTGGCAACAAGTTATCTCTCTCTCTTTTTTCTTTCCTTTTTTTTCTACTCGAGAGCGAGATTAGATTATAAAATAAAGAAATAAAGATCACGAAAGAGAAAAATAGGTTTTCTACAACTGTGAATAAATAGTCAATATTTAAAGCAAAAATCTGAAAAAGAATCACAAAAAAGCATTTAAATTTTCTATAAGTTTCGAACAAATTGGAATTTTGAAACAAAATTTGCGTTAAGTTCACAAATAAAAATGGTTCAATTAGCATGCAAATTATAACTCTGTAGTTACAATTCAGCAAGCTGCGGATCAACCAAAAATGATATTTTTTCCCCTATAAGTTAGTTAATAATTCTCAAACTAATTGTCGAATTCTAAATTTTTTTATTCCGTCATACTTCTTGCCTTTTTTCTACATACCTTTGTACTTTCAAAGTTCTAAATTTTATACATTTTGTGCAACAAAGAAAAATGTAACGTAAAGCAAAAGCTACTGTTAAAAAAAATCGCAAAAAAGCACTTTGCATTGCTATAATTTAAGATCAAATTGGAATTTCGAAAAATATTCTATCTTAAGTTCAGAAACAAATATGGTAGGTAGGTACTTTATTTAGCCGCACTAGAGCTGCACAATGGGCTATTGGCGACAGTCTGGGAAATATCCCTGAAGATGATCCGCAGACATGCCATCTCAATTTTGATCCTCTGCAAGGGGGATGGCTCCCCTGCTTTGGTAGCCCGACGAGCTGCACGTGAAGTTGAGCACTTTACCGTAGAACAGATTAACGAGGACCGATACCGCGTACCCACCATCCCTACACAGGCTGATCACCCACCCGCCTACTGACCGCAGCCAGTGATGCTTGAGTTCGGTGTTCTACTGGGAACCGTGCCTTTACGATAAGTCTGCTGCGGGACAAACAAGTATGGTCCTTTCAACTATCTGAATTTCAAGTCTGAAGTTGCATTCCTCTGGCCTGTAGAGTGATGGTTTTTAGTGCAAGTTTAACATTTAATAATTCTCATATTTTATCGAAAGCTAATATTTTTATTCCATTGTTCTCCTTGTACATTTTTCTACACACCTTTGTATATTTTCCAGTTTCTAAGTTTTACAGTTTTTGCAATACAAAACAAAATGTTACGTTAAGTTGAACACCAGAATAGCAGCAGTGACGTCGGTGGCCCTTATGATTTTTTTAATTTAGAGAGATTATTGGCGTATAAATCTATGGTAATTATAGCAATGTCAGAGGGAGCTTAAAATAATATTTGTTTAGCTGTGACATTTGAGAGGACAGTTGAGCAATCGAAAGAGAAAAATATTATTCAAATGTTCGTGAAACAGGAGAGGAGGAACGTTCTGACAAGTTCCATGCGTAAACTGTAAAATAACGGTGGAATAACCTCTTGAAAAGTTAACCTAAAACATGCGTCTGTTGTTGTTGTTTTTTTACTGTTATTATTTTTTCTCTCTTTTGTGAGAATTTCTTAGAGCTAGATTGAAATTTGGATAATCGTTGTACTTTTTAAGATAAAATTCCGAAGGCAAATTGCATGTTATTCTCATATGATGCAATTCTTCTAAGCCATTTCATTTTCATTAAAATTTTCTAAATTACAATGACAAAAATAATTTATTCATTTGGGAAAGATGGAAAAAGAAGATTTAGAAGTGGAGAATTATTTGGTACATAATAGTGATGGAGATTTATTTTTTGCGTGACGTTTTCTTTAAATGAACGAGTTCTATAATTGTGCTGAAAACAAAATTTTACACGCCTGAATGGATTAAGGTAAGTGGCGAAATAAGTTGGAACTCTTGACAGAACCACTTTCATGCCTGAAGCCAAATTCTAAAGCCGTAAACTCCAAATTACGGCAACCGAGCCGTGATGGTTTATCCGGCTGGCACCGACCACAGTGCTGACATAAATATCCTTAGTGGTACACAGAACATAGGTTAGAGTCCCCTTGCCGTTAGGCCAACCGTGGGAGGTTTTCGTGGTTGCCTCTCCGTGTAACGCAAATGCAGGGCTAGTTTTATCAAAAAGTTCTCCAAAAAGGCAAAGATCTCCCAATACTTGATCCATGAGTTCCCTTGATTTCTGGATTCGGTCCAAAATTACAAGGCTACCGAGTTGGAAAATAGTAATCGTAAACCCAAAAAAAATGGGTCGGCTATTCAACGACGGTTATAAAATAAAATAAAATTACGGCTACCACGAATTCCGCATCCGGCTCGCACTGACCACAGTGCTGACGTAAAATATCCTCAATGGTTGACGGATTTTGCCGTTGCGCTAACGCAAATGCCGGTTAGTTCCATCAAAAAATCCTCCACAAAGGCAAATTTCTCCCAGTCCTTGATCCTGGAGTTCTCTTGTCTTCTGGTTTGGTTTAAAAATTACAAGGTTACGGAGTAGAACATTAGCAGGGGTAAACTCAAAATTGGGTCGGCTGTTCAACGAAGGTTATAAGAAATATAAAATGAAAAATTACGACTACCTCTAATCCTTCGTAGTTTTGGAAGTGAAATATTCAAATGTTGTTGTTGTTGACGTATGCCTGTTTAGGATGTTGACGTATGCTATATGTTGCTCTTCTTTTCCAGTGGCACCATCTATGGCCAAGAATACGTCGCATCCGTTTATAGGGAGAACCCATTCATACATCCAGTCATGTATTCACAGATCGTAATTTTGACCTGAATCAGAGAACGATCGATCTATAATCCAGTACCCCCAGAGGTATTGATTTGTCATGGGAACATGGAGGACTTTTGCGACTCGACAGATTTAACGTGCATACTACACTTTACTACACGGGGAGCCTTCGGACGGCGGGGTTCGAACCCACGAACTCTCGGACATGGACCCAGAGTCCTTCCGACCAGGCTATCCCGGCACTTGAAATATTCAAATCTATCTCAAGAAAGATGTGTCAAATTCAATTAACGTACTTTTTTGTGTCCCGCTTCGTAACTTAAAATATAGGTTTACGCACTCAATATTTTTGATTAAAGATTACCATCAGACCAGTAATATCTCCGTGCAGATCGAAGATAAATTACAAAAAATCGTTCTAATTATTGGGACCTTATTTTCTTGATTACAGTTATCTCTCATATTATTTGAGCAAAAAATCTGAATCTGTTTCAAAATATAATAATATATGTATGTTTATTCATAAATAGTGAGTTTTTGTGTCTGATTTCGTAATTTGAAACATCAATTCGCACCGTTTTCATTGTTTTTGTAGCAGATTTTCCTTAAGTTAGCAATATTTCTTCGTAAATTAAATATACTCTTTTGTTATAGAGAAGCAAATCCAACAATTTATCTTTGAAGAATTATTTTATAATTCAAACTACAGAGTACCAAAATATTGCCTCGAAGCTGTATACGCTTGAATTGAGAAGGGGTTAAGATCTAAATCCCCCTCGCAACTAAATCCCCTTTTCCTTTATATGTACTAGAAAGACGACGAGGGAGTGTCAAGTACAGGACAGAGGGGGGAACGATGTATTGATTTTTACTTAGCTCGCTGTTGCTTTCATTCTCAAGAAGAACGTTGAAGTTCATGAGATGGCTTTGTGGTAATACGATTAAGATGGTTGCTTTAGTCTAGAAGAAAAATAACGTGGGAATAGTGGTGAGAAGAATTATATTATGTTTTTGTTTGAAGGTTATTGGCGAAGTAATTGAAGGGGGAAATGTTGACTGCCGAAATATGTCACACGCAAGTAAATAAGTTGTAAGGGCGTATTTTTGCTGTATGCTGTTGTATTTCGCAGATTATTTAGCTCTCTTCAAGATTATTTCTTAAATATACATTTTAATAAAAAAGGAAACGAAATATATTTGTTGCAAGATGTAATAATATATTATTTTTTAACATTTGTAAATAGGACTTTAATAAGTAGTTTGTTCAGAATGCGATGAGTCAACATCGAAGCACCAAATTGTCTTGTCGATATCGATTCTAGAACACCATGAGCCTGCTATCCTCAATTTGCCCACTTATCGATCAAGAGCAAGATTTAATCACGTTTACTTTTTAAAGTCTGCAATTTTTTTTAAGAAAGATAAGTTCACTTTTCATAAAAAATTAAAATTATTTTTTAACATTTGTAAATAAGACTTTAATAAGTAGTTTATACTGAATGCCATGAGTGAACATCGAAGTACCAAACTGTCTTGACGATATCAATTCTTGAACACCATTAGCCTGCTATACTCAGTTTACCCACTTAGCGATAATTTGTTAGTCAAGAGCAGGTTTCAATCTCGTTTACTTTATTTATCTGCAGTTTTTTTTTAAAGAAAAATAAGTTTACTTGTCATATAAAATGTAAAAATTTTTTTTTAACATTTGTAAAGTAGTAGTTAATAATCGGTTTATCAAGGATGTAATGAGTTCACATCAAAATGCAGGCCAAACTGTGCTGTCGATTTCAATTCTTGTACAATTCTTGTACTGCATCCTTTATCCGTTAAGCGATAAACTACCAATCAAGAGGATGTTTTTCATTCTTTTTAAAATAGTTAATTTCAAAAGAAAAGGAAATTTATTTATTACAAATTAATCATCTATTTTTGTATTCTGAAATAAGACTTTAATAGGCAGTTTATCCAGGATGTGATTAGTCCACATCGAAGAGTCTAAGTTCCTAAAAATCGGCAATTTATAAAAAAAAGTTCATTTGTCACAAAGCAATTGCACTACTATATTTAAAAATTTGTAAATGAGAAATAATAGGCAGTTTATCTAGGATGCGATTAGTTCACACAGAAATGCAAATTTTCTAAAGTCTACAATTTAAAAAAACAAAGTTTATCTGCAAGCGACATCACGCATGTATAAATCGTGGCATTTGTCTACGCCAAGATTCAGCTCGCAATCAAGTTCGACGCACACGATTGACGTTGTTTGCAGTTATCCAATGAAATCTTATCCAAAAATTGATTCAAAACCAAACTTACACAAAGCTTAACATGCTAAACATGTCATTAGGCACGTCATTTCAGTGGTATTATTCATCTCAAGTTGCAAGTACCTAATTGGTTTTGGGTTAACACACAGACGCATCAGCACACATTTCCCTTTTTATTGTTATAAATCTCATAGATTAAAATGTCTCTGTATGCTTATTTAAACAAATGTTATACCAAGTGTCCCTAAAATGTGCGACGAGTGAAAAAAAACAATTAAAGAAAAAGGAAAGGAAACAGAAATAAACGGTTTGTTGCATTCTAATGAGGAAACTAGAGCTTAACTTTTACCAAATTTTAAAATTTTCTCGTCCAAAGATGGCGCTGCTTTGTGTGGACGAACTATAGAACACCGTTTTCTAAATAACTACCATTTGTAGCAACAACGTGTCGCAGTCTGAAAACAAAATGGACAAAATTTCATGTAAATATTTCAGTTGAGGTAGAAAGTAAGTTCAAATAGTCTGACATACACCAAAAAAAAAATATGGTAAAAAATACTTGTTATAAAAAAGGATAAAACAAACCTTTTTTTATTTATTTTTTTATCGTAAGCTTTCTGTTTGTTCAACTTAAATCTTATTTGTAGCCAATGTTGAATCGACGTTAATCCTCAAAAATTAAGTTTGACTCCCAATTTCGAAGAACTCGTCCGCACTTAGCTCGAGCATTATCTTTAATGCCCATTAACAGCTTTTCTCGAATTAGGGCGAGTTTAGGTCTTTTAGAGAACTCAAAATCTTAGTCTCACGGAATATAGCTTAATCAATATCTCATTTGAACTAATGCTTTTGTGTAGAAGACTAGCGCATTCAGGGAAACATAAAGTTTGCTTTTAAAAGCATTTTAACGACTCACATTTGGATAATTAAGGGGAAATAGAAGAATTATAATGCATTCCCTTATTAGAAAATTTCAGGATTAAAGAAAGCATTTTATTACGAAGAATTGTTCATTTTAATTTATTTTAAATTATCGCTGATAGTCCAACGGTCGGTTGAACTTATATCTTCAAAACCTTGTCATTTTAAATACACTGGAGGACAAAATTAAGAGATGGAAGACATTTCACCAAATATCTCAAACAATACTGAATATAAATAAGTGAAATTTGGTATGGATATTGCTTATTCCATGATAATAAAGTATGCAAAATAAAAATGAAAGTGCCATTCACTGGCAAGATCTATTGCCAATAAATCCAATGTAGTCTGAATTTAAGGATAAAAGATGACAATAAAAATGAGGCTTGTACAGTCTGTGTTGCCTCTAGTATGGTGCATGATCACCCCTAACAGACAGACAGCATGCACAACGAGTATGCATGCTGTTAATAAGGGAGTTAAGGAGGACTTGTGGAAGATCCTCCCATTCTTCCACCAGAGCAGTTTTTAACTCCAGAATGGTTCTGGGGGGAGGTTGGCACATCGCAAAAGCTCTCCCAAGAGAATCCCAAGCATGTTCAATAGGATTCAGGCCAGGGAATTTGGCTGGCCAATCCATTCGTTGAATATCCTCGCTTTCCAGATACTCATCAACCATGAGAGCCCTATGTGGTCGCGCATTGTCGCCCATAAAAATGAACTCAGGGCCAACAGCGCCCCTGAAAAGACGCACATAGGGCTCAAGGACCTCCTCTGGGCATTCACGGAACCATTGTCAAACACATGGAGCGGTGTGCGGGTATCTTGCATGTGCGAATGAATGTGCGAAAATGCTTTCCATCTCTTAATTTTGTCCACCAGTGTACAAACCAGGTGACAAGACGACTTTGAATTCGGTATTGGGACCTGTCCGCATTTGTGCTATGTAAAGAGAGAAATATTATGTCAGCCTATTATGTGACCTATGAACACCTATTATGTCAGCGTTAATCCTTGTCCCTGATAAGAACAGCATGCAAATCATCTAGTTATCTCCATAATTCATACGCTTATTTGAAAAACGTTTCTAATGGAATTTTGAAATCTAACAAGAGTACACGCACCACCCAACCATGATCATTTCTTAAGGTTGTTTTTTAACAACCACGGTGGGAATTTCACGTGATTTTGACTCCGTCAGACGTCATGAACAAAGTCTGAGCTGGTACCCCTCTCTCCATACTTCCAAACCACAACCAAAGTGAGGACTTTCAGCAACGACAGAATTAACGTGAACCGTGATGCGTATACATATCAATTGCTTAAACGACTGCCAGGATCGAATTCACAAATTATCCCCCAATTCTCATCCAGCGATGTGAGCAACTTCTTGACCCACTGCCGCACCGGAAAACACATTTAACAAGCATTGTCGCCTTTCCACAAGAAATCAAAACTAGACAATATTTCATTATTGTTGTCAGTGAAGCTCAATCAGCTTCCTAGCTATTTAATTTTCGACAAAACTCATGGCACGAGGAAGTAAGAGACGAATGTTTTGAGTGTAACTAACCCTCTTTTGGGCTGCATGAACCATTGATAACCTACTAACGGTAATTTCAGTTGCAGTAAGACTTATCTTTCTCATGTGAGCATTGATCTCGATGCAGGGATGGAATAGCATAAGAATTAAGTAGTCATTGACATGATTGGTTTATTATGTGTTAAAGGCGTTACTTTCAAATTCGAATTCAAGTAAACTTGAAAATTTAATCAGTGCATCGCCGCGTTCTCATAAAAATTAGTCAAGGCACAATAGTTTATCATCGCACTAAATATGAAATGATGCTTTTAATGCGAAATGACGCTTTTTTGCTACTAACATGTAATTTTTGTAACTGCTGTGAGATTGAAACTGTTCTTATGACTGTTAGGTCAAGTTTAGCCTATCTAAAGACAGCGCTGTCTAAGTTTACTTTGAAAATGTCGCAAAACGTTAATGTAAAGAAAAGCCCAGTGAAAATTTTAAAAAAAACGTTAGTAGTCTATGCTTTTAATATTTAAAATCTTACTCCAATGCTGCATTACTTGTACTCATGAAAATTTTCAAAAACTGAGAATAAGGCAGTAATTTTGATTATTTTAATTTAGGTGGGAATTTAGGAAAGTTTAATAACTTTTAAAATATTTATTCATTTGTTAATGTTTTAAAGCCCAGAAAATTTTTTACTGCAAGATTATATACGTAGTTAAAAATTATTGCTTCAGGTGTAAAGCGCTTAAACTAGCTTTTTTTTATTTTCCTTGGCATCAGAGCTTCGAAAAACAGAGTTAAGACGAATTCGAACTAGGCTTAATAGAACGGAAGCGGATAAAAAAATATTCATAATAAAATTAGTTGATACAGTTCTCAGAGATTTCAAAATTAAAATATAATTATCCTCATTACACAACTGGAAAAAAATGCATGCATATTAAGCGGGGAAATTTTGCTTCTGTTAATGAATATCAGCTTTAAAAATTACAACACACTTATTCCATAAGCCAGCTTATTCCAAATCGTAAGCCAAGTACTCGCGATATTCCACTTGGCGCTTCTTGACATTCAAAGCTCACCAAGTGCCAGCCTTGGCGTTTTCGACAATATTTCTTGTGTGGTGCAACATTTTGAAAGTTTGGTGCTAAAATGTTCAATTTTAAGTGTTTAGGTTCAAAGATACACTACAGTATACTCCCCCACCAGAATTATATGTGACAGAATTTGATAAATGGATACCACTAGTTGATTAATTGCTGT